GGAATTTGGTGCACGTTCCCTGGGCGTGCGGGAGCTTGAAAACCACTGGGGCTCTCCAGGCACTGAGGGAAACTGCTGGGAGATTCACCTCCGACTCTTCCCTGTCAAGTTGCATCTCCCATCTTCACAGACCTCAGCAGGCCTGCAAAGTGCCAGCTCAGCTACAGAAATACCCCACTATTAGCACCCATCTTTTACCATAACTCCCTCCCAAGCCCACTCAAGTGAGGTCAATGATACACTCGGAAACAAATGGAAACAGATCAGACTGTAGGCCACCACACCACAAAACAAACTCATTTCACAAAAACAAGCTCCTCAGCACATGACCAGAGCTCAGCAGCTCTGGCTGCAAATGAGGAACGTGCAAAATCCCACGTCCCAGACCAAGGAGAAGGATGTGATTTGGGGAGACAAGGCTCAGACCCAGCCCAGCAGCAGCTCCACAGGGTCCAGCAGCACAGGGCTGGGGCTCAGCTTCTGACCTCCCTTTTGGGTCCCCCACTGCTTTCAGCATCACCAGTGACACTAAAGGGCATCATTCTGGACAATGAGCTAGATGAACACTGACATTCCTCTGTCACTACCCAAAGTTGTTGAAGCTATCAGTGAACCTCAGAGAGGACACCCGTGTGACCATCTACTTGTATTCACTCAATTTACTCAAGTCCCTAAGTGAGAGTGGAAATAGAGCCAGGAAAAACACCTAGCACCACACCACAGTAGCATTGCTAATGTTCTCCGTGGATTTATCCCATCCCTGCATCCACTATAAACATAAAAAGCTTGACCAAAACCCTAACAACCTAGTTAGCTATCAGGAGCTTTAACCTTCTATTAGCTGCGTGTGTCTGAGTCAAAAGATGCTCTTTGCTAAAGCATTAAATACACAAACTCATTAAATAACCATTGCTCTAATTGATTACAATTAATAGAAGAGGTCAGCTGCACCACTTATTTGACAGTTAGGCAGAGAATTACTCACCAGAAGTGCCAAAAGCTTTACACAGCCACCAGGCCCATCCTCAGGTCCCAGGGTAGGATCAGCTCCACACACACACACATCTCCAACAAATATGCCTGGTGTCCAGCCAACTTCCTTCACCATGTTTTAGGCCCTAGCTTTAAACCCCAAAGGAGCTGGACAGTTTAGTCCCCTTCTGTCTGTTTGCGCATATTTAGACTTTCCAGGTGTGCTGTCCAACTCCCCCTCTCCTTTCCTTCAACCAAGTGAAGGCCAATATTCAGTATTTCCTTGTGGATTCTATTCCTTAGATCTCTGACCACTCATGACCATACCTGTTCTGAGAAAGGACCCAAACCAGGACATAACAGCCCAGTGAGGCCTCACGGGCACCAAGGCTCACATGCTTTCTGTGTTTCTGTATCTCCACAGGTCCATTTCTTCCCAAACAGGCAGCAGGGCTGAAATACTCGTCCTTTTACCAACTCTAACACCCACTTCCTTTCCTGCCAACAACCTCCTGCTCCCTGTTTTTTCACCCTCTCGTATCTGTGCAGACAATCATTTCCACCTCAGCAGAACACTTTGCACTCATCCTTTCAAGCTGCATCTTTCTGCCAGGCATTTCTCAGGTGCCCACATGATCAGGACAATCCCTTCTCCACAGATCCCGAATCCCCTCCCCCTGGCAGGGTCCAGCTCCAGGCTCAGCACAGATCCTCTGCATCCCACTGTCCAAACCACGGCAGACTTTGCCAAGAAATCCTTCTGAGGAGAAACTTGTGTGAACTGGCTACAGATCTCTTTCCAGAATGACATGTAAACCAGCCATGACTTCTTCAGTGTATCTCTTCAATTGATTGCACACCAGGAGAAGCATTTTTAGGTGCAGCTGACCTTTCCACTGACAGCTGGAGTGAGATTTACTCTTAGGATTATGGGAAGCAAAAATCTCCTTCAGTTTCACTATGTAAATATTATCTAAGCCCTCTTAAAAATATTTAGGGATTTATACAAAACACTAAGCTAACAAGTCTTCTGCTAAAAGTAGGAACATTTCCTATGAAGCCAGCAGTTTCAGCTCCTCCCATACCTCAAAGGATAAAGAGTGCCTTGGTGGTGCTCCGTCTTCAAAGCACAGGGAACATCTGGCCAGCTGCTCTTCTACAGGTTACTTCTCCTTGTGACTCTGGTCTCCTCCATTTCCTGCTTTAAATCTTCAGACCAAGAGGGTCTCTTTGTGTCATAGTTCCTCTTTAGATGTTAGGAAAAGATGACCAGCTATCACGGCAAGAGAAGCAAATTTATCTATTTGGTTTATTCCTCACCTGGAATATTTGTTTAACATCAAAGCTGGCAAGAGCGGTGAATGTAACTTCACTTGGTATTTTACTGGGAATGTTGGATGTTAATGAGGATCCTGAGTTCTTCTACAGCAATATTTCCTAGAGAATTCTTACCTCCCTCTTGCTGAAATCCTGACCTATGCTGTAAGTATTTCCTGTCTAGACTCTTGCTATTCCTTCTGCCCTTACAACAGACACACTAATTTTTCTGTAAGACAACAGCTACTCTTGTTCCACACAAAGGACTATCACTCTTCTGGTGCTGTCACAACATCCTCTCCACCTTGGAACCTTCTTGCAAGGAGGAACGGAGCAAAGCCACCCTATCCTCTGGTGCAAGATGATTAATCTCACAGGACACATCTCTGCCCTTCCACCCTTTTCCTTGTCCACGGAGAGGAGCCCCTGGCCCCAGAGCCCACGCACTTCCTCCAGGTCTCAGCTGTGCAGATGTCAGCTCCACACACAGGGGAAGTTCATGGGAACGCTCCTCTTTGGACATGTCACTATCTTTAAGTTTGGCCGTCAAAGGAAACCACACAACACAAATTCTATCACTGAGCTTGGCAGAGAGGAGCAAATAAACTTTGAGGATTTTTATGTTTTTTTTTAATTTTAGCTTGAGAAACCAGTGACAGAGACATGCAAGAACTACAAAGTCATGTTTCAAACTTCCTCTTTCCAAAAAAAAAAATCACTACAAGAGACAACATTAGCTACAATGAAATTTCTTTCCTCTTTTTATTCTTCACATGGAGGAAACCACAAAAACCCTCTTCACTCTGCTGAATGATTTGTTGAAACATGGGTGAGGCAGTGCTGTGCTTCCCATGAGCCGAACAAAGGAATTATCTTAACCAAACATTGCATCTCCCCAGAAATTCAAACCAAAGTGCTTAGACACTTCAAGAATTCCTTTCAAAACTGGCAAAGCATGGCTAGAACATCCCTGTGTGTGTGTGACACCAAGTATCAGGGAAGAGACCAAAAAGCAAAAACCACAGTCCCTCCTATGACAATGCCCACAGTTTCTTGATGGATCTATAACGCTGAGGTCTCCGCGGACACAGGAAAACCTGCCCTGTACAAATCTCCTGAGGCTACACATCACTAGATGATTATGTTCATTCAGGACTTTTCAATTAGCAGTTTCCGGTACCACCCTTATCTGCCTTGTATCCCTCTTTATTGGGGGAGTCTCCAAAGCACTTACATTCCAACCCAAAAGTTGGGATAAACTGAAACAGGTAACTCATTTCACCCCTCTCCTTCCTGCTCAGACCCAAGAGAGAAGGTCCATTATCCTTCATTGCAAATTTGGCATTTTTAACCGGGACAGGAACTTCAGGAGGCCAAGAGAAACACTATCATCCACCACCAGTAACTCAAGAGACCTGTACTTCTTTATCAGCCTTTGGCAAGAAGTAAAGTATCACTCCTCAAAACACCAACCAGCGCACTGGAAGCGCAAGCACCTGATATCCTGGAGATGCACCATTTAAACCTCTGCTCCTCGTTGCCCTGGCAAGGCAGCTCCCTCCACCTCCAGCCAGCAGGCACCTGGTAAAGCTTGTCTTCCACCTCACACCCAGCTCACAGCCACCAGGAACACTGTGCCGAGTGAGAGGCCAGAGATTCACAGAACCCAGTCCCTCAGGGAGGGACACCCACCACAGAGGCCCTGCTTCAACAGCATCAACATCGGTTTTAGAGAAGTTTCCTCCATTAGGAAGTCTTGTGCATTAACGATAAACACAGTTTAACAGTGCATATAGCCCTTCAGGAAGAAGAAAATGACAGTCGAGATGGTTCAGGCCACCAGATATATATACAGCATGAGAATCAGCATCATAAAAGCCCATTAAAGAAGGGTTTCAACTCATGAACAGCCCATAAAGGCAGCACAGCGTGGTTGAAAGCCCACAGGGCGAGCAGGGTGCCTGGTGATGGCCCCTGCTGTGTGACCCCCATGGCTGAGCCCACCCGAGCCAGGGGGGAAGGCTCCGGCCCCCGGGAACTCCACAGAAACGCTGCAAGTGTTCTGTTCGCCTCCAGAGGGAAAACAAACATCCTCTGGGCAGCGAAACCCCGTGGCTGTGCCCAGGATCTGCTCACACCAGTTTCTGAGACTGGTGGCCGAGCTGCCCCCCC